CCCCCGTGAGTATCCCCCGCCCCCCTGCCCCCCCCTCCACTGCCCAGGGGACAGGTCCGGGGTGCCGGGGCCACCGGGCGTCCTCCCTACCTGCACGCGGACCTCCGGCAGGTTGACCTTCATGGCCAGCTCCTCGCGGCTGTAGACGTCGGGGTAGTGGGACTTCTCGAAGGCGCGCTCCAGCTCATGCAGCTGGTAGGTGGTGAAGGTTGTGCGATTCCTCCGGTGCTTCTTCTTGGGCTGCTCCTCCTCGGTGGCGGCTGGCGGGGTGCCCTCGCTGTCCCCCGGCTTCCGCAGCTCACTCAGGTCCCCCTCGCACTTATTAAGGAACATGGCGGTGCCTGCGAGGGACCGCGGGGTTAGCTGGGGCGTGGGGACATCGGACCCCCCCCCATGCAACCCCAGGCCGGGGACAGGCAGACAAGTGGTCGGATGGACGGGAGGATGGGGTGGCCCCAGAAACAAGTTACACAAAGGTGTAATCCTCTCTTCCGCTGCAGCGTTACCCCAGGGCCGCGGTGTCCCGGGGACTGACCTGGGGTCCCGGGGACGGTGCCCTGGGCACCCTGCGCTTGGCTCCACGGTCCAGGCCAATGCGGCCAACCAAAACTAAAAGTCAAATTTCCCCTAAAGCCAAGGATTTTACGAAAGTGCCGTCACTGAGAGCCGACCCGACCTCCCCCCGTCCTGGTGTGCAGGGGACCAAGCCACCAAGCCCGGGTCGGCTCCCTCCTTCCAGCCCAGCTCCTCTCCTCCAGCCCCTCTTCCCCATGGGCTACGAGTCTGGCCCTGAACAACTGGAGGACCCAATGTCGGTCCCCAAGCACGGCCGGAGAGACCCAGCACCATCCCCCGGCTAATAACCTTTTTTCTGCACGTTTATAAGCATTTTCAGCCCTTGCAACGTTTCATCTTTAAGCTTTTTATCCGGCATCTGAAATCTTCCTGCAGTATTTGCTGGGGATTAAGGGTTCCTTTCTACCACGAGGATGTAGGCAAACATGGAAATGGGGCACTTCTGCCAAGGGGAAGGCGCTGCATCGCCCAGACCCACCGGCAAAAATTCGGCTAATGCCCAAATGGGTGTGGGGAGGGACAGGGAACGTCAGATAATTCTGGGAGGGAATAAATGGGGGTCCCAAGAGGGCAGCACGCAGGGGGTGGGTGTTGCTCAGGCTGTGCACGGTGAGTGCCTGCGCGCGCAGCGGGCAGTGCGGGTGCAAGCAATGCGTCTGCGGGTATGGGGACGTGCGCAGTTCTGCAGCCTGCCCACACGGGCGGGTGTGGGTGCCCGGGGTGTGCGCAGGGCTGCGCGTGGCCGGGAGCGGGAGGGCGCACAGCCAGTGGACTGAGTGTGGGTGGAACGTGGTGAAGTGTGTGCGCAGCGTGGGGGTGCGTGTGCGGGGCTGGATGTGCGCGTGCAGGGCAGTTTGTGCCGCATGCCCATTGCGTGCAGTGCGTGCAGTGCAAGTGCAGTGCGCAGTGCCCAGGGTGCCGTGTCCGTGTGCCGTGCATGCAGCATGCACAGCGCAATGTCTGCACCTGCAGCATGCAGGGCACAGCGTATGTGTGCAGCGCATGCAGTGTGTGTGCAGTGCGCACAGCTCAGTGAGTGTGCAAGGACTGCAGTGCATGCGATGTACGCAGGCTGTGCACAATGTGTAGGCACACCGTGAATTTGTGCACCGCATCTGTGGGGACGCAGTGCGTGCAGTGTGTGCGCAGTGTCTGGACAGTGCGTACAGTGGAGGCGCCTGCAGAGCGTGCATACTGTGCGTGCAGGTGTGCTGCATGCGCAGCATCTATGCGTACACATGTGCAACACATCCAACATGTGCAGTGTGTGCCCAGTGTCTGTTGGTGCTGTGCCCGGCACCTCTGCAGTGTGCTCAGAGCATGCGCTCTGGGTGTGCGGCATGTGCAGTGTGGTGGGCACAGCATGTATAACGCATGCAGTGCATGCACAGGGGCCATGCATGCAGTGTGTGCATGCACAGTGTTTGCAGTGTGTGCAGCGCACGCACAAGGGCTGTGTGCAGCACTTGCCGTGCATGTGCAGCGCTGTGCATGCGGCATCAGCGTGTGCGACTTTGGGAGCTTCCGGCCCCCCAAGACCCCCCACAGCCCCTCGGGGGGTGTCCTTTAGCCCCTGGTCAGCTCTAGGTCCAGCCCTGCTGCCACAGGGGGTGCTGCAGTCTTGGGGTGCCCTGGGGGGAGCCGCGAACTGGAGCAGGGGTGCTGGGTGCTGCACCCCGGGGTGCCCCAAGGCAGGGGTGAGTGGGTGCTGGGGGGAACAGGGGCCCTGTTGTCACCGTGTGAGCATCACGGTGTGTCCGGGGGCTGGGGACACGGTGAGGGGATGGGGTCCCCAGCTGCCATCCCGCTCTCGCTCACCTGCTTCTCATTTGCGCAGCTCCACACCTGCAAGAAGAGGGGAGAGGGGGTGAGCACCCAGAGCACCCAGAGCCCCCCACCTGGGGCACAGACCCCCTGGGGGACCCAGCACC